TTTTTTTTTTTTTTTTCTTCATTTCCATTCCTTCACTTTCATCCTCTGTGAATCCTGTGTTCTGAGGTGGATCTCTTGTAGACAGCATATACATGGGTCATGTGTTCTTATTCATTCAGCTACCTTACATCTTTTGAATGGAGCATTAAGCCATTTACATTTAAGTTTATCATTGATAGGTTCTTATATATTGCCATTCTTTCATGCCTGTGTTCCTCTTTTTCCTTATATTTCTTTCTCTAATATTTCTTATAGTGCTGGTTTTGTAGTAATAAACTCCTTTAGCCTTTTCTTGCCTATGAAGATCTTAATTTTACCTTTAATTTTGAATGATAGCTTTGCTGGATAGAGTAGTCTTGGGGTTCAGCCCTTTACTTTTCATTACTTTGTATACTTCATGCCACTCCCTTCTGGCCTGAAGTGTTTCTATAGACAAATCAGCTGACAGTGTAATGGGAGCTCCCTTGTAGATAACTTTCTGTCACTCTTGGTGCTTTTAAGATTCTTTCATTATCTTTAAAATTTGTCATTTTAATTATGGTATGTCAAAGTGTGGGTCTTTTGGGGTTCATCTTGATTGGGACTCTGTGTTTCCTGAACTTGAATGACATTTTCCTTCACAAGGCTAGGGAAATTTTCTGTCATTATTTCTTCAAAAGCTTCTCAGTTCCTTGCTCAAATTATTTTCCTTCTGGCACCCTATGATACAAACATTGTTACATTTCATGTTGTCCCAGAGCTCCCTTAAACCCTCCTACTGCTTTTTAATTTTTTTTCCTAATTGCTGCTCTGAATGTGGGTTTTTTTCTACCCTGTCTTCTAATTCTTTGATTCAGTCCTCAGCTTCTCCTAGTCTACTCTTAATTCCTTCCAAGTTATTTTTTATTTCAGCTATGTCATTCTTCATTTCTGCTTGTTTCATATTCATGGTTTCTACCTCTTTTTCTATGTTGGTGTAGTTCTTAAGTTGTTTGAACCTCCTTACAACCATTACTTTGAATTCTTTATCTGACAAATTGTATGCTTCCATTTCATTTAGTTCCTTTTCTGGTGATTCTTCCTTTTCTTTCATTTGGGGGTTATTTCTTTTTCTCCCCATTTTGCTGGCTCTTTGTATTTGTTTCTCTGTATTAGACCAAACTGCTATGCCTTCCAGTCTTTGTTGGGTGGTCTTATGTTGTAGGTGTTTTGTGGAACCCAGTGGTGCAGTCTCTTGGGTCATCTGAGCTGGGTTCTCTAAAAATGTCACTTGAATTATTTTGGGTCTCCCATTGTAATTGGATCTTGAATGTTGTTGTACCATTTGTGGGCAGAGTCTCCACTCAGGATGGCTGTGAGACTCACTTCCAACCACATCATGCATGAGCTGTTGTGCAGGTTCTGACAGGGTAGAAAAAAAATACAACAAAACAAAACAAGAAATAAAACAAAAACATACACAAGACCCCAACTACAACAACAGCAACCACAAAAGAAGAGAGAACTAGGAAAGAGAAAAGGGCAAGAAAGATAGAAAAGAAGAAAAAAAATACAAGGAGAGAAAAAAGGGTAAGAAGAAGGAATATGAAGAAGTAGAGATGAAATAAAGAAAATAAGAACAGCCTGGCCAGTATGATTCAGCTGTTGAGCACTGACCTATGATCCAGGAGACTGCTGTTTGATTACTAGCCAGGGCACATGCCTGGGTTGCAGGTTCAGTGCCCAGTGGGGTTGGGGAGCATGCAGGAGGCAGCCAATCAATGACTTTCTCATCATTGATGTTTCTATTTCTTTTTCTCCCTCTCCTTTCCTCTCTCTGAAGTCAATGGGATATATTTTTAAAAAAAAAAAAAGAAAATAAGAAAAAAGAATAGGGGAAGGAAATTAATACAAAAGAGGAAGAAAAAAATTTGAAGAGAAAAATAGAAAATAGATAGACCCAAAATAAGACAAAAACAAAAGATGGGGAAGCGAGAGAAAATGAAAAGGAAAAAAAAAAAAGAGAAAGAGTAGGAAAGGGGAAGAGAAAAATTAAATATATGAAAGAAACAATAGAGACTAAAGTAATAAAAAATCAATAAAGCATAGATAATGAATATAAGTAAAAATAGGGGGGAAAAAGAGAAGAGAAAAAGCAAAAGATACAGGGAAAAAAAGTGAAGTAGTGTTCTCCTAAGCACAGTTTAGTGCCTTCTGGGAGCTGTCTTTGAATACTGCTCTTCTAATGGCTGTGGCTGACAGTTCTGTCTGCCAATTCTGGGCTTCCCATGAGGTACTTAGGTGCTAACCACTGTCAGAAACTGACTTCCTTTAGATTTCAGCAACTTGTATAAAGCTCCAAGGGATCCACAGTTTGTGTCCCTCCCTGCAGGACTTGGCTGTGCAAGGGCAAGACCATGCTGCACTCTAAGGCTGGTTTGTTAGCAGCATCACAGGGCTGGGTTAGCAAACTTCCCAGGTTCCCCAGGCTCCTCTTCCACCCACTTTTGCCTGCCAGCCAACTGTCAATATTAATCACTCAAAAGTTTTTCTGAGAGGGCTTTAGGCAGAAGCAGGAGTCTAGATCTCTGAGTCTTCTATGAGGGGAAGGTGCTGTTCAGATTTCAGAGAAGTAGTGGGTGTGTTTCTGCATCCCAGAACTACTACTCTGAGAGTGTCCCAGAATATTACTCTGCCCTAGGTTGGGTGGAGATCCTCTTATGCCTTCCAGTGTTATCAGTTAGAAACCTGGAGTTTGTATCAGCTCTCCAGTGTGGGAGAAGCACCAATCAGGTTCCCAGGATAGTGGAGTGGATGGTCCCAACCCCTATCCAGGCACTGATGCTTCCTGAGACTGTTCAAACCTATAGGTTTGGCCACTGCTGCTATTTCTCCAACAAAGGTCCAAATGCAGGGTGTGGCAGGCAGGGCTCATGAGAGTGTGGCAGGCTGTATTACCTAGGGTGGGATGGTTTCCAGGAGGGGATAGTGACTCTCAGGAAAATGGTGGTTGGGTTTGAGGTGGGACTACTGAATGCAGTACTCTCAGCAGCTGATTTTCCATGTCTCCCTCCAATGCTTCCCACCCAAGCCTCTCCTTAGGCACCTTGAGACCACACTGAGACCACCAAAGCCTCAGGTGAGTAGCTGCAGAGGAAACTCCTGTTGGCTCTGGGTTTAAAAACAAAACATAACAAATATAGGAGCACCTAAATTTATTTTAAAAAAACTTCTGATGACTTTAAGGGAGAGATTCACAGCAATACAGTCATACTAGGGGACTTGAACACCCCACTGACTTCACTGGATAGGTCTTTCAGACAAAAAATCAGCAAGGAAACAGTCACCCTAAATGACACACTAGATCAGATGGATTTAATTGACATTTATGGAACATCCTACCCCAAAGCAGAATATACGTTCTTCTCAAGTGCACACAGGACATTCTCAAAGATAGGCCACACGCTAGCACACAAAACAAGATAAAGACACAATAAGGAAAAAGAATTACAAGCCAATATCCCTGATGAACATAGATGCTAAAATCCTCAACAAAATATTATCAAATCAAATTGATAAGGCTTTACAAGTTCAAGAAGACTGAAGTCATATCAAGCATCTCCTCGGACCACAATGGCATGAAATTAGAAAACAACCACAATAAAAACACTAAAAAACATTAAAAAACATGGAGACTAAAAAGCATGTTTTTAAACAATGATTGGGTTACCAAAGAGATAAAAAACTTTCTGGAAACAAATAAAAATGAACTCACAACAACTCAAAATCTATGGGACATAATGAAAGCAGTCCTGAAAGGGAAGTTCATAGCACTATAAGCCTACCTCAAAAAACCAAGAAAAATTTCTAATAGACTCTCTAACCCTACAACTTAAAAACTTAGAAGGCGGTCAACAAGAAAAGCCCAGAGTAAGGAGAAGAAAGAAAATAATAAAGATTAGAGCAAAAATAAATGGCATAGATACTAAAAAACAATACAAAAAATCAATGAAACCAAGAGCTTGTTCTTTGAAAAGATAAAAAAGATTGATGAATCTTTAGCCAGACTCATCAAGAAACAAAGAGAGAGGACCCAAATAAACAAAATCAGAAACAAAAGAGGTAAAATAACAACTGACCCAACAGAAATACAAAAGATTGTAAGAAAATACTTTTTCATAAAAAACTATATGCCACCAAGCTGGAAAACCTGGATGAAAAGGACAAATTCCTAGACACGTACAACTCCAACACTCAATCAGGAAGAGTCAAAAAGCCTAAATAGGCTGATAACTGCTGATGACGTTGAAGCAGTAACCAAAAGGCTCCCAGCACACAAAAGCCCTGGTCTGGATGGCTTCATAGGAGAGTTTTACCAAATATTCAAAGAAGAAGTAACACCTATCCTTCTCAAACCATTTCAAAAAATCCAAGAGGAAGGAAACTTCCAAACTTTTATGAGGCCAGCATTAGCCTAATTCCAAAACCAGATAAAGAGAAACTAAAAAAAAGTCCCATTTATACTATAAAGAAAGAGAATTACAGGCCAATATCCCTGATGAACATAAATGCTAAAATCCTAAACAAAATATTAGCAAACCAGATCCAGCAATATATTAAAAAAGATCATACACTATGACCAAGTGGGATTTATTCCAGGGATGCAAGGCTGGAGCAATATTTGCAAATCAGGGCAGGTGGCTCAAAGCAGACTGGAGTTGTGCCAGGACAGCCTGGGTTGTGTGGCTCCGGGAAAAAAGCCAGGGAACTGTGATGAGTACCGCTCCCAAACCATCCACAGACACCATCTTTCTTAGGTTGAGCACTCCCCTCAATACAACATTAGCCTACTGGGATGCACTAGCTCCACTCTCTTAACTCCATGTCACCCTGCCCTGCCTAGCTCACACCCTGCAGATAGTCAGTTGCCTGGGCCTGAGATACTGAGGTCTGGGTGGACTTAGGGGCTGTCAGAGACTGAGTTTTGTGGCTCTGGGGCAGGAACCATTTCCCCCCTGTTCCCTTAACTGACACTGCCCCCTCACAGGAGATATACTATCCCAACCTGCCCAACTAACTGTGGTCCCCAGTGTGGAGCTCACACCTTGCAGAATTATCAGCTGGCTGTGGCTAGCTTAGGCCCCCTGTTTTGGACATTCTAGGAAGGCAACTGAGGAGGTTTGGACAGAATCAAGGAGAGACTGAGATGGATACCATTTACCCTCACATGCCCAACTGGTGCCACCATTCCTGTAGAGAGCCCTCCCTTCACACAACCAAATCTTGGTCTCTTTAAGCCTCATGAACTCTGCTGGCCTCACCCTGACAACTTCCTGAGACCCCTTCCCAAAGGTCCATAGGCACCTGGTGAGTGGCCACTACCCTTGATGTACCCTAGGCATTTTGCTGAGTAGCATGAGACCCAGCACTGGTGTCAAGTTTGAATCTGTATCAGTCTGTTGAACACCACCCATCCCTACCTGGTGACTCACTGAGAACCTACCTCACACAACTTGTGAATCACCAGAGGCTCTTTCAGTGACTAAGACTAACAAATAGCGAGCAGGTGAAGGCAAATTTGGGGAGCCTTGGATCTTTTGCTGACCTACCTCCAAGCTTAGTGTTTGGTCATTCCCACACATACCCAGGCTCAGCAGAGGGAGCCACAAACAGATCACTTTGTAGCTCCAAACAGGTAGACCAGTATTAGTCACAGGCAGTGCCTGACATTAACCAAGTACCTCCCAAGATTCCCCAGAATAAAAATTCCACGTGGAAGTCTTTAGACCACATCAGAGAACAATTTGCTCCACAAGCAGCACATACAAAGGAAATCTTGGGAAGGAACCAGACCCTGCTGGGGTAAATTACACTTTGGGTGGTCATCTCCCACAAAGAAGCTTGTACAATGTTATCAGGGTTGATCCTCTTTCTCAGCAAGCCTGAAGGTCAACACCGTCCACAAATGGGCCAACAGCAATAAAGTCTCAACCAGAACAGGAGGACCAACATAACACACAAAACAGACATTCCTGTAGGACCCAGACCAGGTGACCAAGGACTCTGTGCCACTGGGTCCCACAGGACACCTACTGCATAAGGTTGCCCTACTAAGACTGGAAGAAATAGCAGATCTATATAATACACAAAAACAAATACAAAGAGGCAGCCAAAATGGAGAAATGAAGAAATATGACCCAAATAAAAGAACAGAAGGAATTCCCGGGGGGGGTGAGGGAAGAAATAGAAGCAAGCAATCTACCAGATAGAGAATTTAAAACAATGGTTATAAGAATGCTCAATGAACTTAGTAAGAATTTTAACAGATAGCAAGCATCAAAAAAACATACAAATCATAAAACAAAAGAACCAGTCAGAAATCAAGAATACAATATATGAAATAAAGAATACACTAGAAGAAG